TTAGACAGCTCACCGTTAGCGCAAAACGACCGTGCGCTTGGATACAGGCATTACCTTCAAGCACTGCAAGTCACGCAGTCATTTGCAGGTGCGGGTCCTAACTTATTATCGATTACGTATACCATTTGGTACTATGAACCTTATGCTCGTTGAATTAATAGAAAATCTTAAATGAATTAAAATTTAATTGAATCTACTCTTTTTTACAGATTTTTGTTAAATAGCAGCAATAGATAAACCGCCGTCTAGTGTACCATAAAGCAGGGATACGAAATAGAAGTCTCAAAATCTTTTGAGAAGATCATGTGTTATGATAATTTTCTGAAATCTTCTGAATTTTTTTGTTTTTTTATTTATTGTATAGAGGGGTGAACGAGCTCACAGCCCACCTAGTGTTAAGTGATTACCGGAGTCCATAGACATCTACAACGTAAATGTTGCCACCCATCTTGAGATATGAGCTCTAAGGTCTCAGTACAGTTACAACGGCTGCCCCACTCTTCAAACCGTTTATTTATGCGTTTCGCATTACTGCCTCACGGCTGAAATAGGCAGGGTGGTGGTATCTATCCGTGCGGATTCACAAGAGTTATATTATATCTTGGCAATTATAACTTGGGCCGTGAGCTAGTCCATCTAAGCAATAAATAAAAGGTGTTATTAGTGGAATAGTTGATATTTTAACACGAACCCGGAACGGTATTTTGTGAGAATTCTGATAAAAAACTTTGAATAAACCCATAGTTTGAATAAAGTGCGTTCATTAATTCTAACTATATAAATCGTTTTGTTCAATTTTGTACCTTAAGCTTTGTTGTCTTAAAAGTAAAATTAAAAGTTATGCCGTCCTAAAATGTATTCATGCCGTGACTGATTTAGCTCACGATTTTAGAACCGACCCGCTTTTTCGCATCAAAACCTTACACTTACGGCGGAATTGGCAAGCCAGAGCCGTATTTGGTGGGAGGGTTAAGTTTGAGCAAATATAAGATAATTAATTACTTCTACTAAAGGCACGAGAAAGTAGTATTAATATACCCAGGAAGCAGGAAAGATTTCACAGAATGCCCTTTGTCCTTACTTATCTAATTAGGAATTTCAAAAGAATTAATTTTGATATTTTTATCATTAACAGTAGTTGTATTATTAAATGTAATGTATCGAATAGACCTCCGATTCTCGCAAAACAGGTCAAGATTTGTTATTTTAATGTTCAATTCGAGTGTTTGAAAGACGATTGGGTCGAATCGATAACGAAGTTTTTACAAAATCAAACTATTATTTTTCAAATTCGGAGCGATTGGAAGATTACTAGATATACCCAATTGAGAATGAACTGTATTTTTATTTATTCTTAAAATTGTTCTTATTTTTCAAATTCGGAGCCATTGAAAGGTTACTTACTCACCCACGGAATAGATAATTAAGTCTATTCCGTGTAGGTACTCACCCGTAAAGGTTACATACCCGATTATTTATGCCTAAAATTGTTTTTAAACTAAAATCTCAACGTTTATATTTAGGTAGGAACATGTGTTTCGGATGGCCTGCATATAGGCAGCCAATAAACTCGCGCGTTGTTTCGTAAAATTCATTTTTTACTTCTGCGTTTTTAATCCCCTGTATTTTCCTAGTACACCTAACTTTCCATTTTCAACCCTATTACTCACGAAACGTATTTCGGGCCGGCGCTGATGGAAATCACTGGCTCTCCTATGTCTGAATATCAATCAGTAATCATGTAATTTGATCTGAACAGTGTTCATTCAGATCTAGCGGAGACAGTTAGACTCAAGGGAGGCACTATAATGGTTTTTGACTCTAATTATCGCTGGCGTCAAGTGAGTCTTAAGATATCGTCTGTACATTACGTCAATAATAAAAAAAGGGTGCGTGTACTTATGTACGCGCGTAAGAAGTTATACTTTATTTTTATTAAATTTATTTCTTTTTTTTTATTTAAATTTTAATCAATTTGAAAAAAAAAAACGTTTGATCAACATCCTCAAACACGCATATTGGACATCCCTTTTCTTGACATCGTATAAATTCGGTAATTCTCGGTACGGTTCGGAAAGTTCACCTGCGGCTATATTCAGACTCGCCAAGTTACGTCGGTCGTATTGTAATGGGCGATTTAGTGGGCAACTTCATTCTGTTAATTTTGTGTCACGGTGCGCGCGCATCGTAAAATTTCACTCTCATCATTTTTTCATAACGCGCCTAAAGAAGTATAACTTCAAAGATATTGAAGAGGATTTCAGTATTGTTCGAGTAAATATATCCCTTGACATCAATCCGCATATTAATAATTTATATCAATTAAATGTTTATTTGTCGACTTCGATTACATTGGCCCTTATTTCAATTGTCATTGGAATTTGCATTTATCTTTATTCGCAATGGCATACTTTGATAATACCAGTTTACATAAAATGTATTATTGTACCATGTATTGTTTACAGAATTTTATTATTTAAAAACTGAGATCCAACTGCAAGTAACCTTTAAAAACATCGTCAATTTCAAATATGTAATTTTAAATTCAAGTAAATAACATATCATTCGGTGTCCGTAGTTAAACGTATTATAAAATAATAGAATAGAATTTTTGGTCTCTTACATATAAAAAGCGATTATAAACATAATAACATACAAAAAAAAAGTCTACAAAGTATAATTGTTAATATCGTGCTAGTAAATGTAGGATATGTTTAACGTATATTACAATGAAAATGAGGTTGGTAAGAGAGTGTTAACTATGAATGTGGAATTATATAGAAGAAGAGGTAGACCTAAGAAGAAATGGATGGATTACGCGAAAGACGATATGTGTAGGAGTGACCGAAGAAATGGTATATGGTAGAGAAGTATGGAAGGAGAAAACATTTTGCGCCGACCTCAGGTGACTGGGAGAAGGGTAGGAAAATGATGATGATGATGATGGAGGTCCACTATCTATCTTCGATTGCGAGCTTTCAAATCAACAAGTAGCACTCTGAGTAATAAACAAGAAACGTTAACATAATGTTGCTGATGTCCAGGCGCGACGATGACCCTTAACGATCGGGCTGGGTCAATTTAGTCATAGCTCGCCTGTTGTTAAGGTCAAAGATATGACATCGAGTTTTTTTATTGTTGTATTAATACATTCAATCAAAATAACTCGGTTATATACCTACTTTAAATATTATTCATTAAACATACATGTTGTACTTACATATATGTATTATACTGTAGAAATATAATAATCAAATAGAATTTAGTATGCTATATTATTGCGTAATAAAAAGATATTACTTTCATAATCATTTTAAATGACCCAGAAACTTTCAATGCAGATTGTTGACAAGCAAAAACGTTCCGGTTTTAAAGAAGGGCACACGGCTTCTGACGTTTAGAAGGGCCATTGACCCTCGTAACCGAGAAATGTTAGGAGTGAAATAACATGTTACGTGAATGAATGCGCCCTGGGGTATTCCATTTGTGGTAAAATGTATGTTTTAAATAAATAAATAAATACAGTAAACACACTAAATATACTATAGGGTACTGGTGATTGACCAGATAATTACAAAATCGCTATTGAAAAAATAAAGGTTTGGAACGAACTTAACTAAATATAACTGACTCGCGATGCCAGCTGACATTAATGAGGGTAGAGTGTCCACCAGCCTCCTTCGCATCAAATTGGTTCACTAAAACTGCAAGTTTTTTTTTTGTGATTAATGGTTTACTCGTGGCCTGGAGGTCGTTCCAGTTTCATAAGGACAGGTGGGCGAGCAAGGGCTCAGCCAGAGTACAAGTATTTATGTTCAGTGGTAAAGGTCTATAATTCTGACGATAATTTTAGGACGTAATATTTAGTAGACAATTGTATTCTAAAAACAGCTTTGTGTTCATCGTCAATATGCCAAGCATTTCTGGAGCTTTGTGTTCATCGTCAATATGCTAAGCATTTGTGGTAAAGAATAATAGCTATTGTATTTCTTTATTATCAGCTGTTTGACTCTAGGAAAGTTTTCTTTTAAATGAGTCATTAACATTGAACAAGCGAGGAAAATAAATAAATCGATAAAAGAACTTAAAATTATTAACAAAATATTTGTTTTACTATTGTTTGTTTCTGAGCGGTAGGTAGTTGAATAATTCAAATTCAAAGCACATTCTTTCGCCTTTACCATCAACGAATAGTAAAATACGTAACACGATTCGTTCTATTCTAACAATTTTTATGTTGCGTGTTCCGTTTTCTAAGCTTACGCAGATACCTGAAGGTCCCTGACCTACGTTAACATTCCGAAACAGGTTTACGATTAGACCAAATGGGTTAACGTGTCATTCATAATTATAATGTAACAACAGCTTGGTGCTTAATAAAGTTCATAATATGCTTCATAGTATACGCCTGGGAAAAGGATCATAATTTTAAATGAGAAAATTGATTAATACTGAGTAATTCTAATATTTTTGTTACGCGTTTTTAACAATGATTTAACGGAGCGTGGTATGTAGAAGGCAAGGTAAGCAGTGAGAAGAGCCCCTACTCTGATTTTTTTACCCATACATTTTACCTATTCCCATATTTATTATTATACCTTTACAGAGTTCAAAATTAATATCACTGCCTAAATTCAGAATCAATTCATTTAGTAATGTGTTGCTTCTTTTACAAACTGGGAGCGTATTTTCGATAAACTAAAGATTGGATGATGATATATTACCCTTGTGGATTTATGGCCCATTTAAAAGCAATAAACAAAAAAACGTTGAAAGGTTTTAAATAGTTCGCAGAACAGCTCGAATTGTCAATGTAGCATTCCGTTCAGCTAATTCTTCGTATTTATGACCAATGAATTGTTATTTTAAATAATTCAGTGCATGTTGTCGTCGTCGTGTCGAAGACCTCTTGACTTACATTGTAATGCGTTGTTAGTAATGGTACAGGCGACGGTCTTTAATCGACCGCCATCTCCGTCTGAATAATAAAAATAACTCACCCATTTTAAATTTAATGAGACTGTATGTATTAATAGTACACTTGATGTTTCTGAACTCCAATTCCACCGTTGTTCTTGGCAGCAGCGGCACGACATTGTTATTGCCGTTCCCAATATCTTCGGCGAGGCCGGGCGTCATGTTTGCACTTTCGTGACAACTTTCTTGTTTATGTAACACAAATCTGTACTTATATCTCAAGTGTTCGAGAAAGAAACTTCTAGTTAAACAGTGAGTTCGTTTTTCGTTTCATCACCGCGGTCCTATTGTCTCGTATCTGTAACAAAATGATATTGTTCAAACATTTGTGAGTCATTAGCTCCGTGTTGACGGACCTAATTATGTGTAACACAAATATATTTTTATTAAAAGTGTCAAACTACGTGTTAAATAGATTTTTATTGTTCTTTTGTACGTTAAAAATTGCTTTAAGCTTTCGTGGTTTCATAAATTATGATTAATATTATTTATCTGGTTTTTTCTACGATTTTTCGTTTTCAATTCTCGATATTCTGGCGCCGTAGTAAGCACCATGATCACAAGTAGTCTAATTGTTTTACTTTGCAAAACGTGTGTATGTTTTACTAACATATCGTATTATTCGAGGATCGGACAATTCCAACACCAAGATTACGGAGCATGCCAGGACTAGTGGTTGAACTTTAAAAACTAATTGCACGAAAGATATGGATTTCTTGAAATTACTCGCGTGCCACTTCTTGTATCTTAATGGTGCTGTAACAGAAACATTTCCTCGTGTACCAATTGATCGAAGTGTACCAACAACGACTGTTCCAGTGTACCAAGTTTCATAACAAGCGGATGAATGGCTTAGGAACGCAGAGTACAAGCATACATTTATTTTTACTACTGGTCCCGCAGTAGTCGAAATTCGACTATAATTAATTGAAATTATAAATTTGAACATTATTATGTTTCCATTGTCAAAGACTAATTATACTTCTATAATTACAGGCTTCGTCAAGAATACACTATAGACATTAAACAATATTAACCTATTTTCAATTTGACCACAGACTATAAGCAACAAAAGTTTGACAATAATTATAGAGTATACATATGTATGTGTGACAAATACTTGGTAGTGTGTGTAATGTTTTTTTTATTCATTTAATTATTATTAATGCATAATTTAAAAAAAATATTAATATTCTTCAATACTTCACTATATTCTCTATAAGTGTGGGAAATTTCATACTCCTCTGTCCGCGTATTTTTCGAAGAAAAAGGTACAAAGTTTTTGCTTCACATATTAATATATAGATAGAACAGACGTGCCTCGCGATTTTATCAGATTTAAATTGGTAATTGCGAAATAATGAACATCTTACATTTTTCCAGGATGAAAAGTTGTTTGCTAGTCGATTTGTTAATTAATTATCTTTAGACCTTACAATATTAAACCAGCGGAAACAATGACGATATATTCGGCATTGCCCTGGTCATGACATTTACGATGATAAAAGTATCCTGTTTGATGATAACCGAGTGTGTGCGAAACTTCGTCGAAATCTGTTTATCCATTTTTAAGTTTTTCCGCGATTAAGTAACAAGCATCCAACCATACAAACTTTCACATTCATTATGAATGATTCAAAATAACAGTATGGTTGTTAATATTTTAATTGTATTATACGTAATTTGGTAAATACTTGTTTTCTTTGTCTAGTAAATAAATTACTAAAGAAATACATAAAATATTTTATTTTTAAACCCTTTCAAACAGTTCTTCGTGTTCTGTTATTTTTATCAGTATTGACGTAATTCATGACGTATACGTATAAATCGCTAAATATTTTATCGTATTTCCATATCAGACCTTGACCGGGTATAGTGCGTAATTTATTCTTCTGGATTTATTCACTAACCCACTCAATCAATATTCATGATCACTAATTGTCGACTGAGATCGACTGTGTAACAATTGTTTCAATAAATGGATATATTTTACATTTACATATTTTTTTTTGAACATAATGATTGTTACTTTGCAAAATATTAGCTTAATCCTATACGTGAAATTAGTTTTTAAATTCGCGTTATCGCGTCATACGTTACGAACGCCCGATCCAAGGAATCATAATAAAAAATAATTTTATCGCACAAGTAAATTTAATTATGGTGTCACTTATTTACAGCACTAATAGAGTTGCATCTTAGCAACTCTTTGACGTGGTAAAAAAAAAAATTGCCGTCGATTTCTCCGTAAAACCACGAAACCTGTAAAGTATTGAAAAACAAAAGATAAACCGCAAAATTAAAATGTAAAAGTAATTTTAATTATGATGTCACTCGTCTACAACACTAATACATAGATATGCATCTTCAAAACTAATCGAGACGTGAAAAAAATTTCTACAATGTAAACAATAATCATTAAAAAAAAAATGGTGTAAATAAAAGATTTTCGTCAGTATACAAGCAGGACTCTCATGAATGAAATAAACTCGACGACTTCCGTGAACATTATTTGTTTACCAGCACATTAGCTTGAAAAATACTTACAGACAGGTCACACAGATAACGGTAGTTTGCGCAGATAAAAACGAAGGTCTTTGGAATATAATTAGTCTAAGTTCACTGGACGTTTCCACAATTAGTGAGCTATTTCTTAAATAAATACTAATGTTAAAGTTAGTTGACACGGACAAACGGATTAACGCCTAGTGAATTCTCTTATTCTTTATTCGCACTTCACTGTGACTGTCGCCAGATGTATGAAAGATACTTAATTAATTGAGGGGTGAAAACCTATTTTATTTAAACGACATTTATCTTTGTAATTAAATGTTCATTTTATTTGGTACTAGCTGACCCGGCAGACTTCGTAGTGCCTCAATCGATAAATAAAAGACCTAAGCTTTTGTATAAAATAAACTTAAAACAAACAAAAGGAATCCGTCCAACGGGGGCCACATCAAAGGGAAAACAAAATTGTTATTTTTATATAATTCCAAGCATTTTCATATTTATCTATCGGTCCAGCCGTTCTCGAGTTTTAACGAGACTAACGAACAGCAAATCATTTTTATATATATAGATTAGCATTATCAGTTTAATGTTTTTAATTGAACTTCAATTAAATTTACACCATTCAAATAGCGTAAGAAGTTTTTTTTGTTATGATTTTTTTTAAGTTTTAATCTTCCTTTCTTCTCTTCTTTCTTCCTTCTGCAAAGTTGCAAAAATGTCACTTAAACCAAATAGTCTTTCACTCCCCTATATATTGAAACCACCATCAATACTTTAGAAACTAAATATAGTATTTTCTTAACTTACACTTGGGACCCTCACGTCATGAAGAATCTCAAGTCAAACAAGTCGTCGGTCTAAAGGATAAGACGTCCGTCCGGATTACTAATTTCGTGCGATAGCACTATGTCTGATTTTCTATTCTATGGATGATTTTAAGGAAACACGAATTAAAAACATCGGCTATTTCCCTGTAATAAAAATCATATCCCCAGAGATATTGGTATTTCGTATAATTTTCGTAATTACTCGCCTGCCTTGCCTATTTCCGCCGTGAAGTAAAATATAGATAAAGACAATAAAAAATAATAATGACTGTCTGGTCTGGCTGTCTGGCATTCAAATTAAAAAAAAAAAAAACATTTGAATCCAAACCCAATTAATGAAACGAGTTTTGAAAACATTTTAGATAAGCACTATATAATAAAATAGTTGCATTTGAAAAGAAATATAAATAATTTTATTTAGATGTTGAATATTTAATCCTAATTAGTAAATTTTAGATCAGTGTAAGTCGTTATTGCATCGATAAAACGCAATACGAACAGATGCACATTCCGTTACACAATTTTTTTTATTGCACTCCACCTGGTGTTACTGGAGCTTATAGATATCTACAACGTAAATGACGCATCCCACCTTTTAGATATGAGTTCTAAGGTCTCATTATAGTTACAAAGGCTGCCCCATCCTTCAAACCGAAACTAATTACTGCTTCACGGCTGTAGTAGGCAGGGTGGTGGTAAGCAATAAAGCAATCTAAGCAATAAAAAAAACCTGCCCGTGCGGACACACAATTGGTCCTACCACTAAAACATACATATCTCTGTCTGATTTGTAGGACACTATTCTATTTCATATTTGATTTATTCCCTGTGTTAGGTGCATTCGAGTTGAAATTATACTTGGATAGTAGGATCATTGTATCGTTTTCAGTCGGCATTCTCCTTCAGGGGAATATTGTTTATAGTTTAATATTTTTATTTACTAAATACATTGACAATCAACAGAGATTCCCAAATCCCACTTAACTAGCAAACAAAGGTCGTTAACTTACTCAGAATAATATATTATTATACTCGGTGGAAGATTACAATAATCACTACATAGTATAAAACAAAGTCGCTTTCTCTGTCCCTATATCCCTATGTATGCTTAAATCTTTAAAACTACGCAACGGATTTTGATGCGGATTTTTTTAATAGATAGAGTGATTAAAGAGGAAGGTTTATATGTATAATAACATCCATTAAATACTGGATAAATCAATAATAAATTACAGTTTCCGAAGCGAACCGAGGGCGGGTCGCTTGTTGTTCATAAAGAGAAACACTGTAGGAAAACAAGTATAATATGGCTGCGACACAACTGCAGTCGTCACAATGTAATGTAGACTATCAAAAATTATCAACACGCAGTGGCTACTCTTCAAAGCCTCATCACACTCCCGTAGTCTGTTGTAGTTAATGATAGGATCATCAACAATTCAAGTGATTCAACTTTACGTAGTACTGATGCAGTTAGCAATAATTTTAAGAAATCTCGCATAAGAATACCTCCAAATTTTTAAACAAAACTCTAAATCGCGCTAACAGTAACATCAAGAAATCTTGCATGTTTCAAACAACATTTGGACTGTGAGAAACACCCAGTGAAATAAATGCACTTAACATTAAGAAAAAACCATAAATACGTTTCTTAAATGCGGAGAATATAATGTTTAATCAGCAATAATATAATTTCTCCTAATTTATATAGTATAGTTTAATAAAAGCATACACACGCTATATTGGTAATCTAAACTCAAAAGTAAAATAATATTTTGTTATCGTGGCGATTCTGGAAATTAATAAACGTGTGTTGGTAGATAGATACAGGTAAACACAGCGAATTTCAGCGAATGTAGTCAAAGTTATGAGGACCACTAGCCATATCTTGATAAAACTTAATTGAGACCACATTAGAAATGAGAATGTTCTGAAGCAACAGGCATATAATTTTTTT